GTTATCTAAAAGGAATCAAGTAAATGGATATATATTATTTTTTTTAATTCTGCTAAGTAGCATATCACCAATAGCCATTGATATTTTTCTCACAATGTGGCTGGAAAAAGAGTTCAAACCAGGAAGAGAGGCATCTTGTTCTTCCATTTCTTTGTTATTCTCTGCAGCTTGAATTATTAGTATTATTTTAACCTGAAGTTTCTTTGCAGGAAATATTTTTAAATGACCTGTGTATTTTTAAGAGGATTAGTTTAGTTAAAATCAGCAATATAGTGTACAAATCCATTTTACTAAACAAATGAACCAAACTGTCTCATGCCAACAGTGCCACCATATGGCCAGCAAAGAATTGACTGATACATGTTTTTTTCATACCTTCATCTTATTAAAGGGATTTCAGCACTTCCAGTGGCTTTCCTCTTCTGTTTACCATGGTCCTTTACTGTTAACTCTACTTTAGTTAAGCATCAACATATTAACATACACACACATCCTTTTAAACTCCATTTCTCTTGTTTCACTCTTATATTACCCATAAATATTCCTTTTCCCTACTCCTTTTTTTATGAGCTTAAAAATTAATCATTTTAAAATAATAATTATTTTTATAAGCACATGGATGGTATTAGTCATTTGCCTGCAAACCATTCATGTTTTGTTTCTTTGTTTTTTGTTGTTTTGTTTGTTTATTTGTTGTTTTGAAACAGGGTCTCGCTCTGTTGTCCAGGCTGGAGTGCAGTGGAACTATCTCTGTAGCCTCCAACTCCTGGGCTGAAGCAATCTTCTTACTCCAGCCTCCAGAGTAGCTGGGACTACAGGCCTGTGACACTATTTCTAATTTTTTTTTTTTTTTTTTGTAGAGTCGAAGTGTTGCTAGGCTGCCCAGGCCAGTCTCAAACTCATTGAGTTCAAGCCTCAGCCTCCCAAAGTGCTGAGATTACAGGCACGAGCCACTGTGCCCAGCTGGAAGTATACAGCTTTATCTAAAATCAGACACAATGAGTGCCAGTATTCTCAAAAGCTTTTATAAATTTTTAGACATCTTCAGAATTCCTATTTTCACCTAAACTTCTACCCATATATTCATCCTCTCCTAATTATGTTTATTGGAGTTAAGCATTTGGCTGGATGCGATGGCACACGCCTGTGATCCCAGAACTTTGGGAGGCTGACGGCGCCATATTATTTGAGGCCAGGAGTACGAGACTAGCCTAGTTAACATGGTGACACCCTGTCTCTACTAAAAATACAAAAATTAGCCAGGTGTGGTGGCGGGGGGTGGGGGGTGCCTATAATCCCAGGTACTCAGGAGGTTGAGGCACAAGAATCGCTTGAACCCAGAATGGGTAGATTGTAGTGAGCCGAGATCAGGCCACTGCACTCCAGCCTGGTTGACAGAGCAAGACCTTGTCTCAAAAAAAAAAAAAAAGAAGAAGAAGAAAAAAACTTTAGCATTCAAAAACAGGTTTCAATTATTTTTAAAATTCAATTTTAATGTTGCTTTGATTTCGGAGGTTCCAGTTCTTGGGATAAGCACAGTCTACCCTGTCTGCCACACTGACAGCTTCCACTGCAGCTATGAAACCTGGACAGAACATGGCAGCTGTGTGGAACAGCTACTTGAGGACTCTGAAAATTAAATAGCAGGAAGATTGGGAAGGCACTCTTAAGTTTAAAGTACCACCGATCCTGTGGTGAATTTTTATTTTTTTCTCCTCTGGTATTCTCTGGCCTGAAACCCAGAAAGGAGCACCAGAACACCCAGAGAGCTCCAGGGGAAACCCTTTGTTCTGCCTCAAGGTATGAAAGGCAAACTTCTAACACTCATGTAAGAGTGCATAATTCGCTCTTTTTCTTTCACTCTTTGTTTTCTCACACCAGGATCCCCAAGCAATTCCACAGCAGTGATGGCAGAGGCCTCCAACAGGAGCCCCACTGGAGGGGGGGGATTCTGGGGGACCTTCCTTTTTGATCAGTGGAGCTATAATTCCAAAGACATGAAGTGGCTCTCCCTTAATTTTTATTCTTTCTTTATCCTCCCAGCAGTTAGCTCTGGTTATGTGTAGCAGAGTGGGAATACTGAAGCCTCCGCTCCCTAGCAGAAGAAACCAAATAGAGACTTCCATGGAACAAGCACCAACAGATTGCAAAGAGGGGGGATATCAAGAAAGTAACCCCATAAAGTTGCTTATGAACTCCATGGTTTACCTCAAATTTATGTATGCATGGGTCTGGCCCTAATCAACACACCAACAAGTTTAAGAACTAAACATGTAGACAGACACTGCCCAGGTCACAAGCCCACTCCTAAGTGAGGCACATATGAGACAGATTTGATTAGAACTGTGAAGCCTTTAGAAATGAAACTGACATCAGAACTATAGCCCACTGGCTGGGCATGGTGGCTCACACCTGTAATCCCAACAACACTTTTGGAGGCCAACGCAGGCGGATCACCTGAGGTCAGGAGTTCAAGACCAGCCTGGCCAACATGGCAAAACCCCATCTCTACTAAAAATACAAAAATAAAATAAAATAAAATAAAAATTAGCCAGGTGTGGTTGGGTAATGCCTGTAATCCCAGCTACTTGGAAGGCTGGGGCAGGAGAATTGCTTGAATCAAGGAGATAGAGTTTACAGTGAGTGAGCCAGTATTACTTCACTGCACTCCAGGCTGAGTGAAAGAGAAAGACTGACTCAAACAAACAAACAAACAACAACAACAACAATAAAATTATAGACCACAGAAGTCAGTTTAAAACTTAGAGCCTGAAACTAACCAGGTCAGCTGCCTGCTGAGACAAAAATATTTGTGTTTTCAATAGGAGTTGAATAAAGCCAAGAGTCTTATAACAGTCAAAATGTGCAGGACACAATGCAAAATTACTCAGCACATGAAGAACCAGGAAAATCTCAACTACACAAGGAAAAAACACTCAACAGATAGCAACAACAAGATGACAAGGTATTATGGGCTGAATTGTGTTCCCCCAAAATTTGTACGTTGAAGGGCTAGTAGCACAAAATTCAACTGTATTTGGAGATATGGCCTTTGAAAAAGTAATTGAGCTAAAAGGAGTTATTAGGGTGAGGACCAGTATGGCATAGGACCAATATGGCTAGCGTCCTTCTAAAAAGAGGAGATTAGAGGATATACAGAAAGAGACTCCAAGGATGCACCCACAGAGAAAAGATCATGTGAAGACACTGAGAGATGACAGCCACCTGCAAGCCAACGAGGGAGGTCCCAGAAGAAACAAAACCTGCTAACATTTTAAATTTCTGTTGCTTAAGCTACTCTGTCTGTGGCCTTATAATACCAGTGTGTATAACTGTACTTGGATTTTCCAACAAATCTCAAAGTAGCTATTATATGAATGTCATAACAAGAAATAGCAAATGTTCTTGAATAGCAAATAGCAAACAACTGTGAAAACAGAAAATCTCTGCAAAGAACTAAAAGATATATAGAAGAATAAAATTGAAATTTTAGAAATAAAAAATATAAATAAACACAAAATAAATTTTTTAAAAACTTGCTAACTGAGCACAATAGCAGATTGGAAAAGAGATAAATTATCACTGAACCAAAAGGCAGATCAAAAGAAAACATCCCACCCAAAGAACAAAGAGGAAAACAAAAATTAACAGAATCTCATGGACCTGTGGAGCAACGAAAAGGATCTAAAATTAAGATCACTGGAATCCCAGAAAAAGAGAAAGAAGAGTATGGTGTTGAAAATATATTTAAAGAAATAATAACTAAAAAATTCCCAAGATTAGCACAAGATTTAAACTATAGATTCAAGAAGTTAAACAAAACTCAAACAGAATAACCCCCCAAAAAATCCACACCCAGTTAATCAAACAGCTGAAAACTAATGACAAAAACTTTTTTTAAAAAAGCAGTCAGAGAGGCCGGGTGTGGTAGCTCACGCCTGCATTGCCAACAGTTTTGGAGGCCAAGGCAGGCAGATCACCTGAGGTCAGGAGTTTAAGACCAGCCTGGCCAACATGGTGAAACCCCATCTCTACTAAAAATACAAAAATTAGCTGGCCATGGTGGCAGGTGCCTATAATTCCAGCTACTCAAGAGGCTGAAGGAGGAGAATTGCTGAACCCAGGAAGCAGAGGTTGCGGTGAGCCAAGATCGTACCATTGTACTACAGCCTAGACAACAGCATGAGACTCCATCTCAAAAACAACAACAAAAAAGACAACAACAACAACAACAAAAAAAAACAAAAACAAGAAAAGAAAATGAAGAAAGCAGATAAAAATAATGCATTATCTCTGGTGGAACAACTTGAATGACAGGTTTCTTATCAGAAACCTTAGAAGATAGAAAGCCTGTAGTTCTTACGAAAGACACAAAAGCACAAATAATTTTTAAAACTGATAAATTGGCTGGACTTTGTGGCTCACACCTGTAATCCCAGCACTTTGGGAGGCTAGGTGGGAGGATTGCTTGAGCCTAGGAGTTCAAGATCAGCCTGGGCAACATGGCAAGACCTCATCTCTACAGAAATTGTTTTAAAAAACTGGCCAGTGATATGATTTTGCTGTGTCCCCACCCAAATCTCATCTTGAATTTCCATGTGTTGTGGGAGGAACCCGGTAGGAGGTAATTGAATCATGGGGGCAGGTCTTTCCTGTACTGTTCTCACAATAGTAAGTTTCATAAGATCCAATGGTTAGTGTAAGGGGGAGTTTCCCTGCACAAGCTCTCTGTTCTCATGTCTAGTGCCCTGTGAGGCATGGCTTTCACCTTCTGCCATGATTTTGAGGCCTCCCCAGTCACGAGGAACTGTTAAGTCCATTAAACCTCTTTCTTTAGTAGATGCCCCATCTCGGGTATGTCTTTATCAGCCGCGTGAAATCCGACTAATACAACCAGGCATGGTGATGTGCACCTATAAACCCAGCTACTCAGGAGACTGAGGCAGGAGGATGTCTTGAGCCCAGGAGTTGGAGGCAGTAGTGAACTGTGATCATATCACTGCACTCCAGCTTGGGTGACAGAACAAGATCCAATCTCAGAAAATAAATAAATGAAATAAAATAAATTGGACTTCATTAAAATCTTTTGCTCTGTGAAAGACATTATTAAGTGAAAAGACAAGCTATGAACTAGGAGAAAATATCTTCTAATTACATATCTGACAAAGCACTTATATATGTATATATAATGACCTCTCTAAACTCAATAGCAAGAAAACAAAAACCCAATTTAAAAATGGGCAAAAGAAGACACTTGCTTACAGAAGATACGGGGATGGAAAACATATATATGAAAAGATGTTCTTCATAATTAGCCATTAGAAAAATGCAATTTAAAAGCATAAGATTCTACTACATATGTATTAAATAGCTAAAATAAAAAGTACTCGTAGAACTAAATGCAAGTGAGGATTTGGAGCAACTGAAACTCTTTCATATTGCTGAGAAATGGAAAATGATATAGCCAGTTTCCAAATCAGCTTGGCAGTTTCTTATAAAGTTAAACATACAAGTACTATATGGTACCATTTCTATTGCTGGGCATTTCCCCTTCGAGAAATGAAAACTTGTATTCACCCAAAAATCTCTACATGAACGTTTATTGCAGCTCTATTCCCAATTGCCAAAAACTGGAAATAACTCGTGTCCTTCTGAAACCAGCTTCACTGTCCCACAGAACTGATGTTTGCAGCTTTTTGAATAAATACAGAAATTGACACCACCAGTCTTAAAACTTGAAAATTAAATTTGTTTTATGGTCTTAGTTCCTTCCTCAGGAAACCAGACTTCGAGCAAGAAACTGAGGCACTGAAACTCACCACGTTGCTGCCCCTAGACAATGAGATGCCAGACACCTTATCTATCATGTTGTTGTTTTATTTTGTAGAGATGGGGTCTCATTGTGTCGCCAGAGCTGGTCTTCAACTCCTGGCCTCAAGTGATCCTCTCACCTTGGCCTCTCAAAGTGTTAGAATTACAGGTGTGAGCACTGCACCTGCTTTACATGATTCTCTTACCCTTCCCTATTTCCTGTTTACCAACTTTCTTCCTTACTCCCCCTAATTCCTGTTTTCCACCTCCACTTCCTTACCACTCCCTAATTCCTGTTTCCTCATACCTAACAACATTCCTTATCTTACATAGAAACCCCTGATTTTAGTTGGCTAGGGAGATGGACTTGAGACTCATCTCCCATCTCCTTGGCTACAGCACCTGAATAAAGCCTACTTCCCTGGTAATGCTCTTTGTCTCAGTGATTAGCTTTCTGTGCACTGAGAAATGAGACCTAGACAAACCCTTGGTATCCTGGTAACACTTCACTGGTAAGTGGAAAAACAAATTGTGGTATGTCCATACAATGGAATACAATACAACATTAAAAAGGAACAAACTACTGATACATACAACAATTTGGATATATCTCAAAGGAATTATGCTAAGCAGGGAAAAAAGCAAATCTCAAAAGATTCTATTTTATGTAACATTCTTGAAATGTCTAAATTAAAGTGATGGAGAACAGATCATTGATTGCTAGGGTTTAGAATGGGATCCAGGGCATGTGACTGTGAAGAAGTATCAGGGTAGTTTTGGGAGTGCTGTCACTTTTCTGTATCCTGATTGTGAAGGTAGTTATACAGAGCATGCATGTGTAAAGATTCATAGAATCATATACCAAAAAGTCAATTTTTCTCTACAGTACTTTAGGAAAGAAAATCAATAAACAAAAATATATTATTCTGTTTTCCACAATTATTTATTTCATACCATTATTTATTTTCCAAAAATTTGAATTGCCGGCTAGCAGTTACCCTGTGAAATGACCCTTTGGTAACTTGCCTAGAAACCTAAATTTCAGGGAAAAATAACGTATCTTAAGTTCCTGTCATTACTTGACAATGAAGGATGACTTAGATTGAAAAGTCAAAGAAGAAAGATGGGGGCCAAGCCTGGGCTAACACAAAGGAAGCTGTGTCTAAAGCTGAGCTATGGAATCAGATCCAGCTAAGCTGAGTGAGTGTGGTCCTTCCAAGAAGAAAGGAATAACTTCCTAAGATGGAAAATACCAGGCCTAAAGGGAGTTTGAGCTTTTAAGCAATAGCTTATTTACCTGAGAGGATCTTTAAAAACTATTTTGTTCTTGTTTTTTGAGATAGAGCCTTGCTCTAGTGCCCAGGCTGGAGTGCAGTGGTGCAATCTTGACTCACTGCAACCTCCGCTTTCCAGGTTCAAGTGATTCTTGTGCGTTGGCCTCCTGAGTAGCTGGGATTACAGGTGCCTGCCACCACAATCAGCTAATTTTTGACAGGGTTTCACCATGTTGGCCAGGCTGGCCTCAAACTCCTGACCTCAACTGATCCGTCTGCCTCAGCCTCCCAAAGTGCTGGGATTCCAGGCCTGAGCCACGGCATCTGGCCAATAAACTATTTTTTAAAAGAGGAAGAGACTGATCTTTTTAGTTACCAAATTTTTGTTCTAACACTCCACTATACTCCTCAGCATCAGTGGTTAAGGGAGTACTAGCCCAAGATGAAATAAATTCTAAAAACAGTACTTTCTCTTTTTACTACAGATATAGATAGATTGAGATACATTGTACATACAGTTTATATATATACAAATATTTTTACTTGTATACACATATGATATATATCCCCAAAATATATACTACTATATTTATAATAAAACTTGACATTTATTAAGAGTTTGTTGTGGCTTTAAAATATGCCTGTAAATTCTTTGATGCTCTTCCATTCAAATAGTGGAATCTAAATCCCTTCATTTTAAATGTGGGCTGATCTTAGTGACTTAGTGACTCAATTTCAATGAAAAGAATGTGGCAGAGCTGATGTTTTGAGAAATCAGAGATTAGGTCATAAAAAAGATTCAGCGTCTCTCCCTCTCTCTCTCTCATTGCTCTCTGTCTGGGGTACAACAGCTGTCAAGCCACGAGGACATCCATTCAGCTCTATGCAGAGGCCCACATGAAGAGAAATGAGGTGTGCCACCAACAGCCAGCACCATGTGAGTGAGCCATGTGAGAGAGCCGCCTTCAAAGTGGATGCTCCAGCCGCCATCAAGCCTTCAAATATTTTCAAGTCCAGCCAATATCTTATTGCAAACTAATGAGAAACTCCAAGCCTAAATAGCCCAGCAAAGCTGCTCTTGAATTCCTGAGTCATAGAAACTGTGAAGGATAACAGGTTTTTACTGCTTTAAGCTAGTAAGTTATGCAGCATTAGATAAATAAGAAATACAAAGGCTATATGCGTCAGGCTTCAAATACATTATCAAATTCAGCTCTCATGAAGTAGGGCATCTCATTTTACATGTAAGCAACCTGCTTCCTGGAATTATTGAAAAATTTACCACATGGTGATGGAGTTAATTCATAGCCATGCAGACATTCAAACTCCAGACATGCCATATAGATCATGTGACTGGATGTCAGGCACTAGCAAAACAGACATGAAAACTTTGGGAATCGTGGGAGTGTTTATCAGAGGGAGAGGCTGTTGAGCAGGAGAAGGGAAAACAGCATCAAGTTCAGCTAGAAGAAATGAAAAAGATAAATTAGCAAATTCAGTAGAAACACTATGCACAAATCAGGTTTAACCGGAAGGTAAGGAGTGAGATTCTGGACAAAGAGAAAAGGAAAGCAAGGTGAGAAAAAGACAAAACTATGGAATCGTGTGTGTTCTTTTAATTACAAGCAAGGGGGTAGCCAAAACCACAATAGGAATCAGCCAAAGTGGAGTAAGTCATTTGTCAAAGCCATGCTGTTTATTTTCTATTACTGGTTGGCCTGGTAATAGAACCCACACTTCATGGTAATGAAATTTAAATAAGAATATCACATGCAAAGAAGGTAACGTAATTTTTTGGGTGCCGATGTTCACATCTATCTCGTTAGCTCCACTTTCTCCGGAATTATAGGTACAAGTTGGGAGGAGTTTTGTTGTAGAAAAAGAATGATACCATGAAAGAGATGATGAAGAATACGGCATTCTCTTAGCTTGGCCACCCAAAAAGGTCTTCTAGGTACCATTGATGTGGTTATTTTCCCCATAACCCTTGTAGGAGTCAGTGTTAAATAATAAATGTTGCAATTTTTCTTGTCTGGCCCATCCTGACTGCATTGCTTAAGGGAACCCTATAAGTCAGGACTGCAGCCAGGCCAAGGATCACTTCCCCAGAGCCCTCAGTAAGGGGTCAGAGCCCTATATATGCTCACTGCTTGGACAGCTCTGCCTACTTTGACTATTTCTGCATAGACATAGTTGCCCAGAGAGACTGCATCTGTTTCCTAGGGCTGCTATAAAAAAGCACTAAAAACCAGTTACCTTAAACCAACAGAAATTTATTATCTCATAGCTCTGAAGGCTAGAAGTCCAGAACCAAGGTGCCAGCAATGCCATGCTCTCTCTCTGAAGGCTCATGTGGGGAGATCCTTCCTTGGTTTTTCCTAGCTTCTGGTTGCTTCCTGGAAATCCTTAGCAATCCTTGGCTTGCAGCTATTACCCTTTAATCTCTGTCTTCTATGCAATATGCCTATCTTCTTTGTGTGTCTACATGTCTTTTTATAAAGATACCAACCATATTAGATTAGAGCCCACCTTAATGACCTTATCTTAACTTGATTACATCTGCAAGGATCCTTTTAAAGAATAAGGTCACATTCTAAGGTACTGGGGGCTAGAATTTCAACATAAAAATATTTTAGAGGATGTGATGGTTAATTTTATGTGTCAACTTAATTGGAATAAGGGATGGCTAGATAGCTGGTGAAACATTATTTCTGGGTGTGTCTGTGAGGATGTTTCCAGAAGAGAGCATTTGAATCAGTAGGCTGAGTAAAAATATCCACTCTCAATAGTGTGGGCAAGCATTATTCAATCCATTGAGGGCCTGAATAGAACAAAAAGGTGAAAGAAGGGTGAATTCTCCCTCTCTGAGCTGGGACATGCATCTTCTGCTGCCCTCAAACATTGGAGCTCCTAGTTCTCTGGCGTTTGGACTCGGATTGAATACCATCAGCTTTCCTGGTTTTCCAGCTTACAAACAGCATATGGTGGGACCTTTTGGCTTCCATAATTGCATGAGCCAATTCCTGAGATATATATGTACATATATATGGTAGAAGAGCCCAGAGTCAACAGAGATAGCAGAAATGGGTAAAAGAAGAAATGGCCTGAACACAAACCACTTGCAGTCCTCACAATGACACAGTTAATCTAAGAGATAAGATGCTGGGCTAAAATGTAAAGACTTGGATTTCCATTACTCTGCTGCAGACTATGTGTGAGCTTTCTCTGCTGTCCACCTGAGCACCAAGCACTGACCATCAAATCAATGTCCCTTCAACACACAGTAGCTCATGGGTCACCTGTGCTTTGGTGAGGCATTTCCTCTGCTCAGCATTTTCATCAATACAAGAGAAAACTACTCCCTAGATAAGCTCTCGGGCTAAGATATATCTTCTAGCACCCGTAGTCACATCTGCAACTCAACCTTCAGGATAAAGAATGGGCAAAAGAAACAGGTGAATACATTCACAAATACCTGGGGACAAGATAAATGTGTGAACATGGCCACAAATACTTGGGGACAATCTGGAAATGGCATGCAACACTCCATAGTTCAAAACTCAGTTACATAATCATACCCAACAGCCAACTACTTGGAGACAATCTGGAAATAGCACACATCACTCCTGGTCACATTCCACGGTCCAGAGCTCAGATACCTGGTCACACCCCAGCAGCCAAGGAGGGTGAGAAATGAGGTTTCTAGCTGTGCAGCCATGTTTCTAGCTGTGTAGCTAAAAATCTGGAATTCTATTATTAAAGGTAAAAGGGGAGAATGGATTTTGGTGGAAAACTTGTCTCTCCCATGCTCCATACATATTTTGTTAAAATGCTATCTGTTTTCTGTGCGGTCACCCTGAAAACACTACTTTAACATTTGCATAGTTTCCAGCCTTGTAGTTACATAAAAATTTATATCATCATTTTCCTATTGTTGGACATTTATAATATTCACTTTTTCACATTATAAATAATGTCTTAAAGAAGAAACACACTAATCTTTGTGCACTTCTCTGTTTACCTCCTTATGGGAATCTCTTAAAAGGCTCTTTTGTGAGTCTATGACCAGGTCTGTGATATAGGAACCACATTAGCCTGAAGAACTGCTGTTCCAGGTCTCTCTTTGAGAGAAGGGAAACTTTCATGGTCTTGGTGCATTCTGACTATCTTTCCAGGTCATTCTGCTTTGGTCAATTTTTCTAGGCCCTCGGCTGATTATCAGAGGCAGGGTACTTGGGAGATTTCTTTTTTTAATAGCCAGATGTGATATTGTTAAAAGTATGCCATTACTGGATGCTTTCAGAGGTTTGATCTGAGGGTTTGCCTTGAAACTGTGTCCCAAGCATCTCCAGGCTATGTGTATGTACTATTTTTACCCATGAACTCATTTGCACACCTGTTTACAACTTGCAAGATAATGATCTCATTGGCTGTATCCAACAGTGATTTTTCTAAGACACAAATCTGATACTACCAGTTCCATGGCTTAAATCCTTTAATATATCCACACACCTGTGGATTAAAGTCCAAATTTATAAGTCTCCATGACTGCTATACCAATTAGCTTATTACTGCAAACAAACAAACACATCTATTCTACCCTATACCCCACATACAAAAGCTTCACGGATTAAAATAATAGCCTTTTATTTAGCTCATGATACTATAAGTCAGCAATTTGGGTTGGGTTCAGCTGGGCAGTTCTTATGTTAAGCTCAGTTGTGTTCACTTCTGCATCCATGGTTAACTGTAGGTCAGCTAGGCAACTCTGCTTCTGGAAATAGCTGATTATAGGCTGGGATGCCCAAGAAACTAAGGCAAGTGTCTCTTACCATCCGGCAGGCTACCTTGGACTTATAAAAATGTCAGTGTCAGGTTTAAAGAGTAGCAAGAAGCCCCTATATACAAGCATTTTTTTTTTTTTTAGATGAAGTCTTGCTCTGTTGCCAGGCTGGTGTGCAGTGGCATGATCTTGGCTCACTGCAACCTCTGCCTCCCAGGTTCAAGTAATTCTCCTGCCTCAGCCTCGAGAGTAGCTGGGATTACAGGTTCCTGCCACAATGCCCAGCTAATTTTTTGTATTTTTAGTAGAGACAGGGTTTCACCATGTTGGCCAGGCTGATCTGGAACTCCTGACCTTGTGATTCACCCACCTCGGCCTCCCAAGGTGCTGGGATTACAGGCATGAGCCACCGCGCCCGGCCGCCTTCTTTCTTCTTCTTTCTTCTTCTTCTTTCTTCTTCTTCTTTCTTCTTCTTCTTCTTCCTCCTCCTCCTCCTCCTTCTTCTTCTTCCTCTTCTTCTCCTCCTTCTCGTCTTTCTCCCCCTCCCCCCCCCCCCCCTCCTCTTTTTTTTTTTTTTTTTTTTTTTTTTGACAGAGTCTCACTTTGCTGCCCAGGCTGAAGTGCAGTGGTGCCATCTTGGCTCACTGCAACCTCCACCTCCCAGGTTCAAGTGATTCTCCTGCCTCAGCCTCCCAAGTAGCTGGAATTGCAGGAGCACACCACCATGCCTGGGTAATTTTGTATTTTCAGTAGAGATGGGGTTTCACCATGTTAGCCAGGCTGGTCTCGAACCCCTGACCTCAGTTGATCCGCTCGCCTCAGCCTCCCAAAGTGCTGGGATTACAGGTGTGAGCCACCTCACCCAGCCTGCAAGCATTTTTCAAGCATCCTCTTGCATTTGCTAATTTCTCACCGGCCAGAGCAAGTGCTATAGCCAACTCAGATTGAAGGGATGAGATGAAAAAGCAGACTTTCCCTGTTGATGAGAGGGAAAAAAGATGGTGGCTATGTTTGCCATCTATAGTGACTTCTTTCTCCAGTCTCACCTCTTTGTGTCTTCACCTTCACCTCCAACACTCTGCTCCAACTAAACAGAACTTACAGCTCCCCTACCCTATCTTGTTCTTTAAGGCCTTCAGGCTTTTGCCCATGCTAATGCCTTGCCTGCTAGGTTTATATTACTATTCAGCTCAAAGTAAGGCCCATCCTAGACATCCCTTCTTCCAGGAAGCCTTCCTTCTCTCATCTCTAGCAGGGCTGGTGTTCCTCCTCTGTGCTCTTACTCTTCCCCTTATAGCCCATACCATGCTCTAATACAAATGTCTGTTTCTTGTCCATTTCTCCAAAAAGACTATAAGGTTCTTGAGAGTAATACTTGTTTCCTATTGCATACTTGTGCTATACAACATGTGCTATACAATTGCATACCTAGTGCTATACAATAGGAGTAAAATAGCTATTTATTGGTCAACTGATGAACTGCGCATGAGGGAGTGAAAGAAAACAGAGGTAAGAAAACCTTTTGCAAATCGACAGGTACCCCATATATCACAGTAATGGATGCTTAGAGCAAGAAGGAACTTATTATCTTATCCATGCATAATTCCTTGGAAAAACATGATTAAAAATTTCTTTTCAGTCCATTGGTCACAGCTGTGGATATGGAAAACAACTCATGCCTTCATAGTGATCATTCTATTTTGGAACTCTTTTTTTTTTTTTTTTGAGACAGAGTCTTGCTCTGTCGCCTAGGCTAGAGTGCAATGCCATGATCTTGGCTCACTGCAACCTCCACCTCCCGGGTTCAAGCAATTCTTCTGTCCTAGCCTCCCAAATAGCTGGGATTACAAGCACCTGCCATCATGCCTGGCTAATTTTTGTATTTTTGTAGAGACAGAGTTTTACCATATTAGCCAGGCTGGTCTTGAACTCCTGACCTCAGGTGATCCACCCACTTTGGCCTACCAAAGTGCTGGGATTACAGGTGTCAGCCACCTCGTCCAGCCTCCAGACTCTTTTTAGGCTTAACACTCTCTTTCTTCACTGAACCCAAATCTTCCCAGTAACTTACACCTGTTGCCCAAGACCTGCTGTCTGGAGCCTCAACATTAAAGCACAATCTTTTTTTTTTCTTTCTTTTTGAGACGGAGTTTCACTCATGTTACCCAGGCTGGAGTGCAATGGCGCGATCTCGGCTCACCGCAACCTCCGCCTCCTGGGTTCAGGCAATTCTCCTGCCTCAGCCTTCTGCGTAGCTGGGATTACAGGCACACACCACCATGCCCAGCTAATTTTTTGTATTTTTAGTAGAGACGGAGTTTCACCATGTTGGCCAGGATGGTCTGGATCTCTTGACCTCGTGATCCACCCGCCTCGGCCTCCCAAAGTGCTGGGATTACAGGCTTGAGCCACCGCGCCCGGCCTCAATCTTTTTTTTTCACACATCAGGGCTTCTCACCCCAGATCTCATGCCTGTCCCTCGTAGCATGTGTCCTCACAGCCCTCACCACCCTGGTGGCCTTCTTATGGCCACACCCAATGTGTCTCGGTTTCTCTCGGAAATGACATTGAGAGCTGGACAGGGTATTCTTTTGGGCTTGAGAAGTGAGCTTCTCAGTAAACCAGCATTCAAGACTATAATGGCTCCAGTGAAGCTTACTGCTGGGAATTTTAGCTCCCACTGAAATGGAACTCAGCCATAAATCACACCATTAATATAACTTCTCCTAAAAGGTTAAACTCTATATGGGATTGATATGAGGAAAATTCCACCTGAGTCTTTTTACCTGTTCTTATCATTTGTATCCAAGTCAAAGCCCCTCAAAAAGCTCAACACTGCTGGGCTTCAAATATCTCTAACAAAAAATAGCAAGAGATATTGAGGTGTATTTCATCATAAATGGACCATACACTTTGGAATGAACCAAAACTGCATTGGACAGCTAGTTCCAAAATGTTCTAAGCATGTGCATTAGGAAGGGAGTTAACCTCTTGAGGATAGGCAGGTCCTCCTCAGCCTCCAGAGCTACTGTTAGGACCCCATGTATCTAACTTGAGCTAACAATGATTTCAAGCTTGTCATGTGTCAAACTGAGTACTTACACACGTTATACATTTTAACATGCACCTACCTTTGTGAAGAAAATTTCATTAATATGCCTATTTTATATTATATAAGAGGACATAGAGGCTCCGAATTTTGAAATTATTTGCCCAACATCACAGGGCTAGCAGGTAGCAATGTTGGACCTTGAACCCAAGTCTCTAGCTCCAGACCATGGGCACCCAGTGAACCCTCTATAAATGTTGGTACTTACATTCCTACCTTGAAAAGCAGAGACATGGGTGATTCCTAAATCACCCATGTTACTAAATGGCGACTAATGTGAGCTGCCACAGTTCTGTGTCCACAGGGCTCACACTGTCACTGTGATCTCCAGTAACAACCTGGCGAGAACACCGAGCTCAGTTCAACACAACCAACCTCTGGGGATTAGCAGTAGTGACCAATTTTGCTGCTCTATTGGCTCACTTTCCCAGAGATAGATTAGAAAGCAGGACATTAAAAAAAAAAAAAAAAAAGAAAAGAAAGAAAGAAAAGAAGAAGAAAGCGTACCCCAATGTGTTATTTTGCTAACAGC